ATCGTTCCCTCGAGGACTATCCTACGCTACCAAGACACTATTAATCTAACCTAAGTTGAATTAACCAATTAATGAGGAAAACTAAACTATTTAAATATAAGATGAGTAAGATATCGTTCCCTCGAGGACTATCCTACGCTACCAAGACACTATTAATCTAACCTAAGTTGAATTAACCAATTAATGGGGAAAACTAAACTATTTAAGAGAAAACTAAGTCAACTAAAGAAAATTAAACTAAAGAATTTTCTAAATTAAAGAAACTATGAATGAGAAGGAACTAGGGTTTGGATTTCATTTAATTCTGAATTATGCAACTGTTTTATTAATTTAATTCAAGTTCAAATAATAGTGTTATTGCATGAGATGACGGATTTCCCTAAATTAATTAACCAGCTTTCTCAAGTCAAGCTAATTTTTCATTTGTTTGCTAAATTAATCATATCTCTATGTAATTTTTAATAAACTAATGAGCATTAAATTCTATGGAAACCTCTAACTTAAGAAGGGGGAGCTACTAACTCTCTCCTCTTCCTCCACTACCACATGTGAGTTAATTACCTCTCGGTCTCATAATCTAACACACGGTTTATATTATTATTGATCTAATTTACACAATTCTTTCTCAAGTTCATGCATAAATCACTAAATCAATTGAAAGGTGATCAGGCTCTCAATGCATTAAACTCAATAATATAAACTCATCATGCAAATAACCAATAAATCTTGAATTAAACTAACAAAAACAGTCACATATTCCAAAAATTAAAATCCATCCATCCCTAGTTCAAAGAAATTTAGCTATGCATGATTATGTTGTCAACAGCAGCCATAATTCAGTAATTCTAGCAGACAATCATGATCAAAAAATTCAAATTAAGAATCAACAACACCCGTCCAATGAAGAACAAGCCAAACTTGTGCTGCTGTCCCTCCCTAACAAAGTTGGTTGAGAAGAACAGAGACTGTCGGCGACGTTAGCTCTTTCACGAACAGATCTGGGTGGGCGTTCTCCCTTTTGCTGGTGAACAGATTTTCGGGGCTTCTTCTCCTTGTTCAGATGCGAACTGATTGGGTATTGCGTGTTGGTGTCCTCTTCTTCTGCTGGTGAACAACAGATGTGGGTGGCTGGGATTTTGGGCGACTGGGTGCTCTTGACCTCTTGTGCAGAACAATTTTATGTGTCTATGGGGCTCCCTCTAATTCTGCCGAGTAGCATCTATATATATATCTTCAGAAATTAGAAACCCTTATTTCTTTTAACCCTAGCAGACATGGGTTATGGGCTTTATTTTGGGTCTAAACTGCAATTGGCCCACACCTAGAAAACATAGTCCAAGTCTCTTTATTTCTGTACTCTATCCATTGTCAAAACTGTCCACTTCAACTTAAATTCTGTATTGATACAGAAGGAATTAGGTTGAGCTCATAAAACATCAATTGTAGCTCTGCTTCTTAGCTTTCCAATGCCTGAAGAATCAACTCAATCCAATACCTAGAGAAAAAGATATGGTTAAATTACTGCAGTATGTGCAAATTGTCACTTATTGCAAAATTAATTCCTATCTTAATTTCCACCTACAAATAATGAATTTAATATAAACAAAAGTGAAACTAAGTTACAAGGGACCAATAAAATTTAATTCTAGGCTCAAAAAGGGTAGATAAATGCATATAAAAATTAAACTCATCATGACGTTGCAACTAGAATTTTTATGAATCTAGCTAGACATGTGTTATGTACCATGGTTGTAGTTTCTTGACATTAGCAAATCCTGATGCTGTTTGGGTTACAGTGGTAAGGAGTGTCAATTTCTATGGTGATAATCTTACAGAAAACAATTAAGACTGCCGAAAAGGAAAGCACCGCTAAGGTCTGACCGGGTTAATTTGTGGTTAAATAATATAATATATCATAAAATTTTCAGTCGATGGGGAATGCATCTCAAGCTGGTAAGTTGCCAATTGACTGGAAAGGTCAGGTGCGATACTATTTTTTTTTTTAATAAATAGTTTTTGATTCCGATACTAGACAAACTGTTATAGAAACCAAAAAAAAAAAAAATTAAAAATCACTTTTTCTTTTATTGGTCACCAAAATTTATCGTAAGTACTTAAATTATTAGCAAAATGTCTGGGACTTAGGAAGTGTTGCGCAAAATTAGTACCCAACTTTTGTCAATTTTCTTTTGAGAAAATTACTGTTAAAATAGCTTAAGAACGAAATGTGGATAAAATAACTGTTGCTTTCATTCGTATCTTTGAGTTTTTGACTTTGACTAGGGGTGGGCAAAACCGGCTTTGGTTAAAATTAAAATCGGCTTTAAAATAATCGAATTTTTTTTTTAATTTTAAGAACTGTAATTGCACCAAACCAGAGATCCTTCTTCAATCTGCGTTTTCACTGCGAATGAATCTACAAAGCCCCGAGGTGGGTCCTTGGAGTAGACACTCCGATGCTTAAGTCAATAATAATCGGGTCTATCTCTCGACTAATGAAAAATGAGCTTTAGGTTGGTTTCAATTACCTTTTTGACGTGGCCCCTGGGAGGTATTTATAGGCCTTTGTGAGATATCCACGTGGCTTGCTTAGTAGGATAATCGGAGTATGACGTGTCCCTTAAGGAGATAAATTTGGGACCGGCAGCAAATTCGGGACCGGGGAATTGTGTGATAAATCAGATGTGGCCATGCCTACTGTATTTACCGTGCAACCATTTGACCAGAAGTGCTGGATTTAACTTCACTTCGGCTATTAAGGAATTGTTACAGTACGTCCGAGGTTAAGGATCTCGGACCTATCCTTACACTATTCCCCCCCGAAGTCATTCACTTGTGAATGATGTTGTTAGAGATAATGGGAGTAGTGCATAAATAGACAGAAAGGGGGAAAAAAATATTAAAACTGAGTTACATAAATAAAAGTAAAAATAGAAATAAAAATTTGTAACTCAAATTCATGTATGGCCAGAGCTAATAGTGAAGTATGTGACATGGGGTCATGTTGGCCATTCCCAAAATAAAATGCGACCGGAGTCAATGTGGCCGAAGCCATAGTAAAAAATGATGACCGAAGTCAATGGCCGGAGCCATAGTAAAATGTGATGACCGGAGTCAATGTGGCCAGAGCCATAATAAAAAGTAATGATTGGAGTCATAGTGGCTGGAGCCGAAGTAAAAAATAATGACCAGAGTCATAGTGACTGGAGCCGAAGTAAAATATGTGACACGGAGTCACTATGGCCGGAGTCGAAGTAAAACACTTGTGAAAGTGAAAGTGAACAGAAGTGTTGAGGTCGGCTTAAGTGAGCTCGTTTAAAAAGTCTGACGTGTGGTTAGTACGTGACATGACAGATATCTGTTGAAAGACGTGTACAATTAATACAGGTTGAAAAAAGTAACTGTGACAGTCAGATAAACGGAGTGGGAAACGAACCGTCGAATTCGAACGGTTCCCGTTAAGGTTACACAGTTGAATTCGAAACGGCGTGAATAAGGACCGTCAGATTAAACTAATCCCAACCGTTGAGAGTTATTTTTGCCCTAAGGTATAAATAGTTATTTTTCTGTAAAAAGAAGTTTACTTTCATTATATTTTCTACAAAATTCCTGTGAAAACTCTACTGTGTTCTTCCTGCGCCTGAATTGCTGCATCGTTCGTGGACTTCTACATCAAGTTTTCGAAACCGAAATCAGATAACGTATGAGTTTTTGTGATTTGGGTTTTAGAGTGTGTTTTCCTCTACTTTCTTCTTTTCTAATTTAGATCTAAGTCTGTTTGAAAGAAGGGAGGTTTAGGAGTGAAAGTGACGGTGAGTATGAGTTAGAAGTTCTGAAAATTCTGATTTTGTTCTTTTTTCTTCCCCCCTCTATATTCCATGCAGTGAAAGTTACCAACTTTGAAAGGATCTCTTCTGAAGAAACTATGAGTGTTGGGGGGAGTGAGGAGGTGAGAGTAATAAATTATGGGGAGGTGAGTATGACCAGTGAGTCGTCTGACTCGGAGAGGACAAAGGAGGGGGTGGGAAGAGGTGAGGTAGTTGGGGTAGGGGGGAAAGTGTACCCATTACTGTGGTAGAAGTGGAGGGTGGGAGAGAAAAATGCTACGATGTAGATGCAGATATCGTAGGTGAGGTGAAACAGTATGAGTCTAAACTCAGGACTAGGGATAGCCTGGGTTATTTGGTGGAGAGTTATGAGATTTCATCCCGAGTTTTGATTAGGCGAGCTGGGGTAGAGGAGAGGGCCTGTTCTGCTCCTCGGGATCATTGGATGCCCGTGTATGTCCACTATTTGGCAGCCGGGCTTAGGTTTCCAATTCCTGAGTTGCTAGTGGGTCTTTTGTTAGATTACAGTAAAGGGTTGACACAATTAGTCCCCAACGCTATGAGGGTAATAATAGGATTTTTAGTTTATTACCGAGCTTAGGGGGTTAATGTGCCAACCGTAAATATGTTTAAGTAATTTTTTGTTTTAAAGGGGGGTAATAGGAAGGATAAGAGGATAAGGGGTGGTATTATTTCACCCCTAGGATAGCAAATAGGGAGAGTAGGGCTTTATTTACCGCGAGTCCTTCATCCACTAGAAAAATTTTTCTTTGTAGATAATACGAAGTGGGAGAGAGGGGATGCCGAAGTGGGAGAGAGGGGATGCCGAAGTAGAGTTGTTGTCATCCTTGAAGGCTAAAAGAGCCAACCAAAATAAGTTTAGCTTAAACGAGGATGAGGAGGAAGAGGTGGGGAAGTTAGTGAGGGAGGGGGGTAAGTTAGTGAATATCATGTATCTCACCAGCATAGAATGCATAGAAGCTAATGAGCTCTATGGGCCAAGCGCTTTAAGTGAATGTTTATTTAGATTTTATATTGTAGTGTTTAATGTAGAGTATAGAGCTGTGTGGTTGATACTGCGTTTTTCTTATTTTGCAACTGAAAGGGATAAGTTTTTGAACGCTGCTGGAGGAGTGGCCATCCCCAAGAAACCAAGGAAGAAGTCAAAGACTTCAACCAAGGAAATAGGGGAGGGTGGAGCTGGGAGGGAGGTAGTGCCCAACACTTCAGATAGAGTTGAAGAGGTGGTGCCAAGGTTGGAGCTGAAAAGGAAGAGCAGTGAGGAGGCGGGAGCATTGCAAAGGAAGAAGAAGGTGGTGGAAGAGGTGGGGGGGAGTGAGGCTCTCCAGTTCGTACCTCGGCCTCCTCCTGTTGAGCTCGATCCTGAGCTCAGGGAGTCTGAGGCTGAGAGGGCTAAGGTGAGAGCTCCTGGTAAGGGGAAGGGCCTCGTTCCCCCATTGTCCTTTCAGAGAAGCTTGTTTGAGGCAAAGAACATGACGGGAGTAAGGAGGTTCATTAGTGCAACCTTCCTCAAAGTGGACAAGCGTCAAGCAAGGGACAAAGCTCTAAGGTATTGTGGGGTGTCTGTGGTGAAGCACGCTCTGGAGGTATGTTAAGTTAATTTATTTGTAGCTGTTGTTGTGTTGTTGTTTTTTTTTTTTTTTAACTTCTGCTTGAATTGCAAAGTGCGAGCTGGGTGAATGGTCTAGGGATGGCAACGGGTCCCCACAGGGGCGGGGACCCCCTCCCCATCCTCATCCCCGTCAATGGCGGGTATGGGGACCCCCTCCCCATCCTCATCCCCGTCAATGGCGGGTATGGGGATCCCCACAGGGAATTTTGGCAGAGGGTCAAAAATTGCCTCCGTCCCCATCTCCACGAGGAATAATAAGTTCCCGTGGGTATTCGGAGTCCCCACCAAATAAAACTATCACTTATTTCACTGCTTATTAATCAAAATTCCAAAAGAAAATAGTAATTTTATAGAATCCTATATAGCAAACAAAGATGATCAAGATCACTCTTTTAAAACAAGCTGGAGGTGAGCAGTGGTCAGCGATGGGCTAACGACATGTTGCCACGATGAGAGGCAGGTTGAGATGACCCAGCGACAGCCTTGGAGCTCAGCTGGAGGTGAGCAGCGAGCATTGCAAGGCAACAGGGGCCAGGGGTTGTAGTGACGGCGAGGTTGAGTGCTGAAGGGAATCACTGTGAAGGTTCGTGGAGATGAGGGCAAAGTTTGAGCAAGAGTGTGGCAGAGGACCAGAGGAGAGGAAACTCAGAGACTGGCTGGAGAGACCGACCGAGAGAGTGACCGATTGAGAGACGGCATGGTGAGTCGATGAGAGGTTGAGAGCTGAAGGGAAGCACCAATTCATAGTGATCCGTGGAGATGAGGGCAGAGTTTCAGCAAAAGTGTGGCAGAGGACTAGAGGAGAGGAGAGACTGACGCCGACTGAGAGAGGAATGAGGAATCCCAATTCCCAAATTCGCAATTTGCAATTGCAAGAAGCGGCAAGCAAAAGAGAGACTGAGTGAAATGTCCTCCTACTAGGGTTATATGTGAATCGGGCCTGTAAATTGGGCTGTAAATTGGGGCTGGGCAATTAAGTTTAGGATTATTAGATTCACAAAAAAAATTGGGTTGGGCTGGGAATTGGGTTTGAAAAAATTGATAAAAGAATGGGTTGTGAAATTTAAGTTATGTTGGTATTGGATTAACTAATTAAATTGGATAAGTAAAAATTAATTGCTAATATATGTACAAAAAATATATATAAACAAATTTATATTTTCTTTATTTTATATGGATCCCCACGGTTTCCCACGAGGTGGAGAAAATTCCCTGCGAAATTTCACAAGTAAAAAATTACCTCCATCCCCGCCCCACGGGTAGGAATATTTTGAGAATCTCCATCCCTGTGGCGGGTATCTCCGCGAAGCTCTGCGGGTCGCAGAGAAAATTGCCATCCTTAGAATGGTCTAGCCCAGGAATTTATGGAAAGCGTGAAGGAGCGCTCCTTCTTGCAAAGGCAATGTGACCAGTTGCAAAAGGAGAAGGAAGAGCTGGAAAAGAAAAATAAAGAAATGCAAGAGGTGTTGGACGAGGTAGTTCTAGTAGTGAAGCAGCTCAAGTAAGAAAGGGCTTCCCTGAGCACCAAGCTCGTTTTTGAAGAGAGCAAACGAAGAATCTCTGAAAGCAAGCGTAAGGCTCAGGAGAAGGAAATAAAGTTGAGGAAGGAGGCTGTGATGGAGCTGAAGAAGAATGTGCAGCTGTTGGTGCACAATGGGATGGAGAAGCACATCAGCAACTTCGTCAACTCCAGCTCGTTTGACAACATCGTAAACCTCTACCGTCTACCAACTGTTATTCTCGCCTTCACGGACTGCAGAAAGAAGGTGAAGGCTGAATATCCCAAAGTGGATATTACAAAGATCACCTTCAATAAGCAAGAGGAAGGAGTGGAGGAGAATGGTGAGAGCATGTCAGTAGACTTCCATCCTCAGATTAAACTGAGGTGGGATCGTGATGCAGACGGACGCACTGTTTTCCCTCCAAATTTCAACTTCGAGTTCGTTGTAGTGGAGGAAGAAGAGGCAGAGGTAGAGGAAGATGAAGTGGGGGCAAGAGTGGAAGGAGCTGAAATGGATGAGAGTCAACCACCTATGCAAGTGGAGATTCATCCAGTTCCTTCTGACGATGAGCAGCCACCTCTTCCAGACGAGCAGCAGCCAACACAGCCACCTCTTTCAGCTGAGCAGCAGCCAATTCAGCCACCTCCTCCAGCAGAGGAATAAAGAATTTTTGTTTTTTGATTTTTCTTTGATATTTTGTTGTAATAACATTTGAACAATTTGTTATAAACTTGTTATTTGATTTGAATGACAATTTTGTTTTTGAGATCATGTTGTGATGTTTGTTTTGCATTTTGGTTATTATATATAAGAACTGAGATTACTTCGGATATGTCTTGAGGGAAAATAAATCATGTCAGAGATGAAATAAAAAGAAGAAAACCACTTCAGACGAACTAAGAAGAAGTAAATCACTTCAGATGAATTAAAAAGAAGTAAAGCATTTCGGAGATGAACTAAAAAGAAATAAAGAACTTCATATGTGAAGTGACATTCATTAATAAAAGTGAAGTTCAAGGAATGAGTGTTAAACAGATTGACCTCGGATACACAGAATAAGAGGTAAAATGAATCTCAACAATCAAGAAGTAATAAGTATAAAGGGCAGTAAGACATATATCACTTGAAAGAAGTTCATTAGGAGCAAAATTTTTTCAAGTTATTGATATTCCAGATCCTAGGAATGCTCTTCCTTTCAGCGTCTTGGAGAACATAGGCACCAGGATGTGGCACCTCGGCCACTGTATAAGGGCCTTCCCAGTTTGGGGCTAATTTGCTAAAACGAGTTTCAAACCTTGTTAGGCCAGCCTTTCTGAGAACAAGGTCTCCTACTTTGAATGTTTGAGGGCGGACTCGTTTATTGTAGAAGTTGGCTAATTTCTGCTTGTATACAAGAGTTCGAAGCCGTGCTTCTTCTCTAACTTCGGCAAGCAGATCAAGGTTTTCCCAAAGCAGTTGTCCATTTTGTCCTTCATCAAAATGGGTGACCCGGAGGCTTGGGACTCCTATTTCAATAGGAATGACTGCTTCGGTACCAAAGGCCAAATGGTAGGGTGTTTCACCTATTTCATGAAATTATAGTCTTTAGAATATGTTTTACATTATGCATATTTGATCTAGGGTAGAGTCGCAGGTGAGAGAATAAAAGTTGAATGAAAGTAGCTTAGGTTGGAAATACTACCTGTGGCAGTTCGGCTTGTAGTTCTATATGCCCAAAGGACGTTGTTAAGCTCGTCTGCCCACCTGGCCTTGTGCTGTTCCAACCTCGGCTTTATTCCTTCTAAGATGGCTTTATTAAAAGATTCCACCATACCATTGGACTCCGGATGGTAAACTGAGGTGAACTATAGTTTGATCCCGTAGCTGGAACAAAAATCTCGGAAAGAGGAGCAGTTAAACTGAGTACCATTGTCAGCCACAATCTGGTTCGAGATCCCATATTTGCAGATAATTGAGCCGAAAACAAAGTCTTCAACCTTTCTGGAAGTAAGACTGAATAATGACCAAGCTTCAACCCATTTCGTAAAATAATCAACTCCAACAATAAGATGGGTTACACCGCCAACCCCTTTCATGAATGGGCCCAAAAGATCAAGTCCCCACTGAGCAAATGGCCACGGTGCTACCAAGTTCGTGAGCTCTTCTGCTGGTTGGTAAGTCAGATGTGCAAAGAATTGGCACTTTGGGCATCTCTGAACGAAGTGAGTAGCATCTTTGTACATATTTGGCCAGTAATACCCCTGCCTTAAGACTTTGTGAGCCAGAGTTCTAGCACCAATGTGGCTTCCACAGACACCTTCATGTACCTCCCAAAGTGCATACTCAGCTTCATAGGGATTCAAGCACCGTAGAAGAGGGAGTGAGAAAGATCTCTTATAGAGGACCCCATCAACGAGTGTATACCAAGATGCTTACTTCCTCAACCTCATTGCCTCTTGCTTGTCTTCAAGCACTGTCCCGTCTCGTAAAAATGAGATAATTGAGTCAGTCCATCTCAATGTGTCCGGGTCTGTGCTGATCTCCATCATTCTTGGCTTCATGAAGCTTGGTTCATCTAAGACTTCCACAAAAACTAATCTGGAGCTTAAAGAGCTATCGAAGGCAAATTTAGAGAGTGAATCTGCCTGTTCATTCTCAGTTCGGGGAATTTTGTTCAGACAGAATTTCTAGAATTTGCACTTCAGCTCGGCCACCAAGGCTACATATTTCACCATCAGAGGATCAACGACTTCGTAGATTGAGTTGACTTGATTAACCACAAGCTGGGAGTCACTATACACTTAGATCGCCCTGACTTTCAACTCCAATGCTAGTTGCAGACCAAGTAGCAGAGCTTCATACTCAGCCATGTTGTTTGTTGCATCGAAGTTAAATTTCAAAGCATGTTCACTCCGGTATCCATCTGGGCCAATTAAGAGAGCACCAGCTCCTGAACCCTTGCTACTAAATGCTCCATCAACATATAAGATCCAGTCATTGGGCTCGGGATTAGGGGTTGAGTGACATGGAGTGCATTCTACGATGAAATTTACCAGTGCTTGAGCTTGGATTACAGATCTCTACTGAAATGTTATCTCGAATTCCCCTAGTTCTACTACCCACTTAATTAATCTTTCGGAGCACTCCAGCTTCTGCAGAATCTGTCGAAAAGGTTGGTCTATGAGGACGATGATTGGATGTGATTGGAAATATGGCCTCAGCTTCCTGACCGAAATGACAACTGCTAATGCTGCTTTCTTGGCGATAGGATACCTCAATTCTGCGCCATGCAGCACACTGCTGATATAATAGATTGGTTTCTGTTGTTTGGCTTCTTCTCTCACCAGAACTAAACTAATTGCTTCATCTGAAATTCCTAGATACAAATAGAGAATCTCTCCATCTATAGCCTTAGTCAGTAGGGGTGGTGAGCTAAGATAAGACTTCAGCTCTTTGAATGTGGCTTGACATTCTTGGTTCCATTCAAACTTCTTCTGTTTGCCTGATTCGTCTTTCTGGGTGGCTGACCTCATGATCTTGAAAAATGACAGGCACTTATCTGCTGACTTCGATATGAACCTATGAAGAGTTGCCACCCTTCCAGTTAACCTCTGTATATCTTTCACTAACTTCGGCGGTTCCATCTCGGCAATTGCTCTGATCTTTTCTGGATTGACCTCGATCCCTCTTCGAGAAACCATAAAGCCTAAAAATTTCTCAGACTCCACGTCGAAGATGCATTTGGCTGGGTTTAACCACATTCTGTTCTTTCTGAGGTTGTTGAAAGTTTCATCGAGATCAGCTAGATGATCTTCTACTTTCAGGCTCTTTACCACAATGTCATCGACATAAACTTCCAAATTCCTGCCGATCTGAGCTCGAAAGATGATGGTCACCATTTTCTGATAAGTAGCACCTGCGTTCTTTAAGCCAAATGGCATCATGACATAGCAATAGATTTCATCACCAGCATAGAATGAGGTTTTCTCTTCATCTTCTCGAGCCATCAGCACCTGGTGATACCTAGAATATGCATCCAAGAGACTTAATCTCTCATTCCTTGAAGCCGCTTCCACCAGTTTGTCAATGCTTGGCATTAGATAGCAGTCCTTGGGGCAAGCTTGGTTGAGGTTTGTGTAGTCGATGCACATTCGCCATTTACCATTTGTCTTTTTGACCGGCACTGGGTTAGCCACCCATTCGCAATAGTCAACTCTTCTGACAAAACTAGCTTGTAGAAGCTTCTCTACCTCTTCCTTTATGACCTGAAGCCTCTCCCCCCCGAAGAGACGTCGCTTCTGGGCTATTGGTTTCTTCAATGGGTTGGTGCTGAGCTTATGTTGGGATACCGAGGCTGGAATTCCTGGAATGTCTGCCGAAGTCCAAGCGAAGACATCATTGTTAGCTCGGAGAAAAGCTATTAACTCTACTCTTTCCTCTGGGCTCAATCGAGTACCAATTTGTGTCTTTCGACTTGGGTTTCTGTCGTCAATGGGCACTTCCTCGACATCCTTGACTAGAGCAGCTTTGGGTTCATCCTCTGGTCGATTATCTACTATTTCAACACCCATGACTTGTTGATTATTAGGAATCCGTTAGGGAATGGCTTCCGGCATCTGATCTTTGTCTTTCTGAGGTCTTGTGACCGAGGTGATATAGCAATGTCTGGCCATCTCTTGGTTGCCCCGTAGTGTTGCTATCCCTATAGGAGTTGGGAACTTCATGCAGAGGTGAGATTGGGAAACCACAGCTCGGATTTCGATCAGTGTGGGTTAGCCAATAACAACATTGAAAGAGGACGCCATCTTGACAATTAGAAACCGAGCTGAAGGGGTAACATACGTTCAGCCACTGCCAAAAGCAACATTGAGGGTAAGAACTCCTTCTACTTGAACTGGTTGGTTGTTGAATCCATAAATGGGACCATCGTACCACTGCAACAAAGTTGGATCCAACCCAAGACTCTCAAAACAGTGGAAGTACATGATGTCTAGTGCACTCCCTATGTCAACAAGGACACGTTGCACCTCACAGTTGTTAATCATGACGGAAGTGACCAGATGATCATTGTGAGGTGTGACAACTGTGTCGAAATCAACAGATGTGAAAGTAATGGGTTGATTCTTCCAATCAGCATCGTCAAACTTTCGTTTTTGAGCTCGGTTTTGATGTTTGACCTCTCTGACGTACAACTTTCGTTGTTTAGAGCTCAATCCTCCTGCTTCTAGGCCTCCCGTAATCATATGTATAATTCTAGCTGGTGGTGGGAGTGGAGGTGGGGCTTGCTCATATCCCACGCCTTCTTTGTTTCCTATGTTACGAGATCCTTGTGGCTGAGCTCCCTGTTCTCTAATAAACTTCAGTTGCTCGGTTCGCTGGATGTATTCATTCAGTATGCCCTTCTGAGCTAGACTTTCCAGTTCGGATCTCAGACTATTGCACTGCTCCGTTGTATGACCATGATCTTGATGAAAATCACAGTACCTGGTATGGTCACATGTAGCAGTGGAGCTTCTCATTGGTCTTGGTAGCCTCAAATCCATCTTATTCTTGATCTGCATGAATATCTGCGACCTCGGTAGATTAAAAGGAGTCCATGTACTGGTGCTTTACTGATATTTTGCTGGGGAGGTACGGAGTTCGGCTTTCCAAACTTAGGTGGGGAGGTCATCATCGGACCTTGGTTCTATACTGTTTTCATCCATTTTCTGCTCTGACCCTCATCTCTCCAATCTGGGTTTTGATTTCTGGGAGGAATTGGTTTCTGGGATAAAGCATATTCCTCAGCAGTGATGAATTTCAATGATCTGTCATTAATCTCGTTGAAAGTAACAGCAGGATGCTTGATTAAGCTGTCTCTGAATCTTTCATGTTGGAGACCTTGAATTACAGCCGCAATTCCCACGGCTTGATTGAAGGAGCTGACTTCGAGAACTGCATCATTGAACCTGCTCATATAATTCTTCAAGGATTCTCCGTCCTTCTGCTTGACTTGCATAAGTTCAGAAGTGGTTTTCCTGATCAACCTTTTGCTGGAAAACTTTGTGGCAAAAGCAGATGTCATTTCTTAATAGGAGCTAATAGATCTTGGAGGCAAACTATAGTACCAAGTTCGGGCATTGCCACGGAGAGTGGAGGGAAAGATCTTACACATTAACGCGTCAGAGGCGTTCTAAGCTTGCATACAGGAATAGAAGGCATGGAGGTGATCATTGGGGTCCTTTGTCCCATCGTATGTCTTGAGTTGAGGAATTTTGAAGCCAGCGGGATAAGGTTCCAATGTGATGTTGGTGTTTAGAGGATGGGGTATGGAGTTAGTATTGTGGTGTGGAGGTGGGGCACCTCGCTGTTCAGCTACTAGTTTTTCTAAGCTGTTCAGACGTCGAGTAACATCATCAGGAAGAGGTTGTTGAGCTGGGGCTATGTGAGACTGGCCCTGAGACTCACTGAGAGTGGGAGCATCGTGAACTAGTTTAGGGTCTTGCTGTGGAGCTGGGGGTTGTGAAGCAAGGTTGAGTAAATTGATGAGGGGATCACTAGGATTATTCCGAGCTAAGAGCTGAGCCAATACTAATTGAAAGACACCAAACTGTTGTTGTATGGCAGCAAGTTGAGCTGTAACTACGTTTGGATTGGCAGTGGAAACTGAGTTGTGAGCTGAGTTATGAGGTTGGTTTTCATCTCCTCCTTCTGCATGATCAACAGTGATGAGTTTAATTTTTATATGTATTTATCTACCCTTTTTGAGCCTAGAATTAAATTTTATGGGTCTTTTGTAACTTAGTTTCACCTTTGTTTATATTAAATTTATTATTTATAGGTGGAAATTAAGATAGGAATTAATTTTGCAATAAGTGACAATTTGCACATACTGCAGTAATTTAACCATATCTTTTTCTCTAGGTATCGGATTGAGTTGATTCTTTAGGCGTTGGAAAGCTAAGAAGCAGAGCTACAATTGATGTTTTGTGAGCTCAACATAGTTCCTTCTGTATCAATACAGAATTTAAGTTGAAGTTGACGGTTTTGACAATGGACAGAGTGCAGAAATAAAGAGAATTGGGCTGTGTTTTCTAGGTGTGGGCCAATTGCAATCCAAACTCAAAATAAAGCCCATAACCCATGTCTGCTAGGGTTAAAAGAAATAAGGGTTTCTAATTTCTCAATATATATAGAAGCTACTCTGCAGAATGGAGAAGAGCCCCAGAGACGCATGAAATTGTTCTGCACAAGAGGTCAAGAGCACCCAGCCGCCCAAAATCCTAGCCACCCACATCTGTTGTTCACCAGCAGAAGAAGAGGACACCAACATGCAATACCCAATCAGTTTGCATCTGAACAAGGAGAAGAAGCCTCGAAAATCTGTTCACCAACAGAAGGGAGAACGCCCACCCAGATCTGTTCGTGAAAGATCCAACGCCATCGACAGCCTCTGTTCTTCTCAACCAGCTTTGTTAGGGAGGGACAGCAGCACAAGTTTGGCTTGTTCTTCATTGGACGGGTGTTGTTGATTCTTAATTTGAATTTTTTATCATGATTGTTTGCTGGAATTACTAAATTATGGTTGCTGTTGACAACATAATCATGCATAGCTAAATTTCTTTGAACTAGGGATGGATGGATTTTAATTTTTGGAATATGTGACTGTTTTTGTTAGTTTAATTCAAGATTTATTGGTTATTTGCATGATGAGTTTATATTATTGAGTTTAATGCATTGAAAGCCTGATCACCTTTCAATTGATTTAGTGATTTATGCATGAACTTGAGAAAGAATTGCGTAGATTAGACCAATAATAATATAAACCGTGTGCTAAACTATGAGACCGAGAGGTAATTAGCTCACATGTGGTAGTGGAGGAAGAGAAGAGAGTTAGTAGCTCCCCCTTCTTAAGCTAGAGATTTTCATAGAATTTAATGCTCATTAGTTTGTTTAAAATTACAGAGAGATATGATTAATTTAACAAACAAATGAAGGATTAGCTTGACTTGAGAAAGCTGGTTAATTAATTTAGGGAAATCCG